CGGTTATTTTAAAACTGTTTGTTTCTATGGTGATAAACAAAGCTTTAAAAAAAAAATAGCAATAGGATAGGTATTTTAGTAGTTTATTGTGGCGTTAAAAAACTATTGAGAAAATCAAAAAATTACCTCTTTAAAGTACCATCTTGATCTAATTTGCTAAAAGATAAGATACTTAATTATATTTAAATTGAAGCACTCCTTCTGGCAGTAATTTTGTTTAAAGGAAAAAAAAAACATTCATGACATATAACCACTAGCTTAGTAAAAATAATTCTTTTTCAAATATTCAACTACTCAGTTTATTGCCAAGATATTCATCATAGACTTAAAGAGTCAATTGTTGAACTACTTGAAGATTTGGATATGAAACTACAAGACATTTCTTCGGATTGCTGTTGACTATTATGAGTATTATCTAAACTCTCAAGTTAAAAGAATAATTATTATTTGTTGTAAGTTTTAAATTTTTTTAACTGTTAGTTAAACTGTTGTGTACATAAAATAACTAATAATATATAAACATTATACTTTCAAATTGAATTGTCTGAAAAATATGTTAAAAATATTACCTCATATTTTACTGAGGCTAGTCCTTTAAGTTCAAAACTATCAATAATTATATTATTTTGTGTTAGTTTTACCTATTGACTAAATCTATAAATAATAATTCTTTAGAAATTAGGATTACAACAAAATAAAAATTACATATTCTGATCAATTGATAATGTATTTGTGTGATCCTCTGTTATTGCAACTAACTATGGTAATATTATATTATATTGTTCAAGAAGTAAATTATAAAAATTAACAATCTAAAAATAATAGAACAACTGTTGGAACAGTCATTTAAATACATCCAGCCATCCAGGTACTTTTAGTAAGGTAGTAAATGACTCGAAAATCGAAATGGAATACTGATACAATTTATGAATTTGTTGTACAATTTTTTGTTTTGCTATATAGCAATGGTAATAATTGGTATTGTATGATTTATGCCTTATGGCACTAAATAATTTGAAGACTGACACTGTAGTTATCGAGTACTATGTACATATTATTATCAATTATTAAGTGATAAGAGGAAAGGGACTGAATAGGCAACTCCAAATACATTGTGCTGGGCATAGATAATAAAGAATGGATAGGCCATTCCTATACTTTTAACCATAGATAATAAAGAATGGATAGGCCATGTTCCCTTATCATACGTTCCCGGACACAATAACATAAAGTGCTTTTTTTTTTTTATTCCATGAATACACTTTTACTTCCAGTTTTGATTCTAGTATTCCACTTAAAGATATTATCACATTGACGATAAAAACTCTTATTAACCACATAAGTAACCACAACAACCATTTGGGTAATATAGCACTTTTATGAGACAGAGATATATCTGCTCTCTAGGACCGCGGCACTTTACGTTAAAAGTATAGGAATGGCCTATCCATTCTTTATTATCTATGCTTTTAACGTAAAGTGCCGCGGTCCTAGAGAGCAGATATATCTCTGTCTCATAAAAGTGCTATATTACCCAAATGGTTGTTGTGGTTACTTATGTGGTTAATAAGAGTTTTTATCGTCAATGTGATAATATCTTTAAGTGGAATACTAGAATCAAAACTGGAAGTAAAAGTGTATTCATGGAATAAAAAAAAAAAAGCACTTTATGTTATTGTGTCCGGGAACGTATGATAAGGGAACATGGCCTATCCATTCTTTATTATCTATGGTGCTGGGTGATGTCGCAGGTTACAAAGCTTGCCGTATTTGTAATAACTATATAACCTAAAAAGTAACAATTTGTTTTTCCGAGCTTTTTGCACGCCAAGTCGCCAACCAAAGTACCAAATGTCGTCAATATCCAATGGTCAACCTCACCCACTACGATATTTAAAATTATTAGTTAATAGGTAGTTAGTTATTATAATAATCAATATCATAATGGCATAATATAATTTTATTAAATTTTCACATATCAATAAAATATTAAGTGCATAAATACATCATTACTATGCTCCTTGCTCGGCCTACGTCGCATAATATAGTTGTACAGACGTAGAGTAAATAGTAAATAAGTACTTACTACTTAATATTTACTCTACGATCTAGATTCTATAATAGATTCTCATAATAGCTCTTATATTGTTCTGTGCTTATATAGAGAGGTTTTAAAAAATTAAAATATAGGTCAGTTAAGAATTTAAACAAATGCGAAATCGTTTAGTTTCAAATTACTCAGCGCTGAAATGGGACGTCATACCACAGATAGCGGATTAAATACCGAGTATCGGTTTTTCTTTTCTATATTAACCCAACCGAAATTTGATTGCTGTTTGAACCCTGTCAACTCGAGTGTTCGAAAACCACCATTTGAGATTTTAGTACAATTTATATAAGAGAAGACCAGTGCCGGATTAACGTATAGGCAGGGTAGGCACGTGTCTAGGGCTAGATAAAAGTGGCCCTCAGAGGGGGCTATTTTTTTTTTAAAGTGGTACTGACGCACTGTGTCAGACGTCAGTTAAACCGCGTTGCGTTAAAAAGTGCAGCCGTAGCATATTGTACCGGGGAACGGGCATTTTCATTGAAAAACGGGTAAAAAATTACTTACGATCTTCTATATGTGAGAGGAAAGGTTAAACGCATTAGCTCTACTGAATATTGAAAATTAATTATTAAATGCTATCGATTTAAATGACGCAATAAATTACTTCAGCTTTAAAAAAGCAAGAAAAAAGTTGTGAATTAAAATAATTAAATAAATCTAAACATTTTTATAATTTTGTTTTCTTTTTTACAATGGGCTATAAAAAAATGTATGCCTAGGGCTACGCCGCTACGGTCGATCTTAATCCGGCACTGGAGAAGACGACTCAAATCTAATGTCTACTATTCTATTACGTTGTCGCGTTTTAAATGTTTGAATTCGCCCGCGCGTCCCCCGCGACCAAACAGGTAAACGTTATGAAAAAAAAATAAAATGGTGAACAGTCCCTGACCAAAACTCGTTCCAACTCTCCCCCGATCGTCCCCCACCGCACGCGCGCGCACACCTACCGCAGCACTTTGACGTCGTCGTTATTTCACAATCCAACGTTATTATTATTATTATTATTTTGATACTCCGCCGGACGAGCGCACGCGCACACGTCTCGCCGACCGTCAGTGAGTTACCGGATCCGATTCCGAGGCCGACCCGCACACACGTTTTTTTATCCACCGTCGACGGAGACCCGCTGCAGTTTCGCACGTGTAATATCGGCATAGTATATTATTACGTCGTCAGCGTTTTTCGACACACCGCCGCCGTACACCGTGATATTTACCCGTAATATCGTCAATTCAGGTGAGTCCGACGATATTTTTCTAGTATTATTATTTTGACGACCGATAGGTGTACATGATTTATTATAACGATATTATATAGTGTGATCGATGTGTTGTAATAAATTAAAGATATTCTTGCCGTCGTGTAGTCGGTGGTACGTCGGACGAGCGTGCCACCTACAATATTTTTGTTTGCTGTCGATGACGAGTTTTTTCGATTTCGTGAATTTCGAAAGGGTTAGGCCGTGACCGCGCGACATGTGCGCCGCGCGCGCTCGGGCCGCCGACCGTGCAAGGACGTGGTTTGGCGCACGCACGGACGGACGGCAAAAAAATTGTAAATTCGGACCTTATACGCTTTGATATTTATTTATTTATTTTCAGATTGCACCCAAATCCCTTTTTAACCCGAGTGTACGTACCCCCTTCGCGCTCGCCTCGTTCAGATTCGTTTTCGATTAGTGATTACGGCGTTCACGTCATGATAATAATAATAATATTATAATCCTTTCGGCTATTGCCAGAGGCATTTTCGGATTTACCTACATTGATCGTCGTTATATAATCAAAATATTCGGTTCTAAACGACGACGTTGTGTTTCTCGTCGTCCTCGGGAACTTTCATCGCCGTCGCAAACTCGTTTTTGCGTCGCCGGCAAACCGAATCCGCTGCGCGTGTCGTATTTTCGTCCTCCGTTCTCGTTTTTACGGGGTTATTACACCATTTTACAGTTTGTTTTATATAATATTCAGCTGAATCACTATTATGCATCGCGATAAATAATAATAATCATAATAATACCCATCAATATCGTGTACGATAATATTATTCGTAACGTTATCTTGATTGGCATCAGCAGCTATTAACCTCCGCTATCTCGATAAACCGTTGTCCGTTATTATACACTATTATTGCGGTCCTGTAAATAATATTGTCGTTGAGAATTTAAGATTTTAAAATATGTGCTACTTTGGAGTTTGGACGTGATAATCGACGGTATCGGCGTGTGTCGATATGAAAGCGATTAATCTATTAATACCTTTTTTATCGAAAGTCTTCGAGGTTTTTCACGATGTTGCTCCGGTTCCACATTTTTGTGGTTTTATTGTATTTTTAGACAATTCGATAGGTGTGTTGTGTGGGTATATTGTGGATTGTTTTTAAATTTGAGATATTATTTTAGTTTGTCCGCTGAAGTTCCGAATTTCCACTCGAAGGTTTTGCAACGACATTTCTACCGAGTTTCTTAAAAGTTATAATAGTTGTACAATTAATACATAATAATATTACATTACAATTCCAAATATCTATGACGAAGGTGCCTCCTAACGTGAATAATTAATTAAATAGGGTAACAACATAGGTACACATTAAAACTATATATTTAAACATCGTATTACGTAAACAGGAATTTTTCGAAATTAAAATTATTTGAATACCTAATTTAACCTATTCTTAGCAATAATAATATTTGAAACGTAATATTAGTTTTGATTAACTTGTTTTTTTAAGTACATTTTGTTATTGATTAGTAAAATTAGTAAAATAAATTATTAACATTTCAATAATTTCCAACATTCAAAAATATTTGAATTTAAATTTTTTTATATGTATTTGTTAAATTTATAGGTTTACTTATAATACAATCTTTAATTTAATTTATAGCAAAATGGTTCAAAATACCGAAATTGTAGATGTCAGTAATAACACTGTGACGTTGGACAATTTGTCCGACTACATGGTCATTGGCTGGGATATAGATACGACTGGACGCCGTTTATTGGACGAAATATGCCATATTGCTGGTCACACACCAAATTCGCAGTTTAATCAATATATAATGCCACATAATGACATTGATCAAGTAGCCAGAAGACGCCATCTTTTGTGCACTATAACAATGGGACGTTTCCGTGCATTAAAAGATATAAAAAATAATAAAGTAAGATATTTAATAATTATGTATTTTATAATTGTAAATTGTTTGTACATCTTAAAATACTCTTAACTCACTTTACAATTAAAATATAATAAAAAACTGATGATATTGCCTAGATAATTCATTCTAATTTTTAAACCTACAGAGCTACGTGTGTTCTGCTGAGTATACAATTTGCTATGTTACACACTTGTAAGACAGAGCGTGTGTAACGTCCTCTTAATCAATTTTCAAATATAACATACCTAGTTTTTTTTAACATTCAAATTATTATTAAAAATTATTTTCTACATTTAAATATCTAAATGTAGCTATGTAGCTATACTCCGGTCCACGGGAGATCAGTACCTTCACAGAACGACATTGATCATTCACATGCACAATGCTGCCGGTGGGGGATTTGCAGAATCTGACAATTTTGGTCAAAAAACGGTACTGATCTCTTAGGCTTAATGTAGCTATCAAAGTCAAACTTTCTGTAAAAAAAATGTTTCTTAGGTGTACCTAACTGATATTGGTTTAGTAATAGAATATTACCAATACAACAAAATATGATTGCTTTAGCATTACAGTAGGGGTAATCTTCTGTAATTTATTATGCTAAAAGATTCCTGTAGTACTTTTGAAAATTAAAATTACCACTTAAATGAATTTCAAATATCTTCAGATATAATAAATATTTCTTTGTTACCTAAGAACGATTCTCTCCATCTATTTGTTACGTTTAATGATATTTATTTAATGGTTTTTTTTTCTTAGACATTAAAATCAAAAAGTGAAATATCTGCTTTAGCTGAATTTATAGAATGGTTAGAACAAATGTTAAAAGACAATGGTAAAAAAATGGCCATTTTAGTGTGTCATGAAGTTAGCAAATTCAACACTTGTCTTCTAATCAAGTCTCTTCTTGCGTAAGATAACAAAATGTATTTATCTGCCTATATTTATTCTTGTAATATATGGTTTTTTTTTTGTTATTACAGCTATAATTTATTAGATAAATTCTCTGAAGTAGTCAAAGGATTTGCCAACTGCCATTCATTTGCTCAAACTCATTGTCAAGATACTATGGTTATGTTTTCATTAAGAGTTTTGTCAAAGGTGCTCTTAGATAAAGATCACATTGATACTTCCAAGGCAACTGATCGTGCTAAATTAGCTTATGATGTAAGTGAAGTCTAAAATTATTTATTCATTTTTTTAAAGTAATTTTTGCTGTTATATCATCTCATAAATAACAGATATTTTGATATCTCATGTTTTTCTGTATTAGCTTATTCATGGTTAAAATTATTTTAGATTGTCCAACATTTGTGTGTAACTTTGGAAAGTGGTAATGATGATGGAAAAGAAGTAGTAACTGGAAGTGAAGTTTCTGAAGAAACCAAGGCCAAGGCATTATCGACATTCCTTACAAGTATAGATAACGAAGTACAGACATTGCATAGCACTCAAGAGTTATTGGCAAGACAAAAGTCATTAAATACAGTTTACCATAAGTCTTTGTCATACCAAACATCAACATTAGATCGCAAGAAAGCTATTAGTTATCGTAATTCGATCGCCAAAGCTAACATTGATTATTTAACACTCCAATCTTTATGGACAGTTAGTTAAATTATTAATTTTGTTTACTCTCAAATTATATACATTTTTAATATGATAATAAATATAATTTATTTTTTAACTTATTTACAGGAAAATAAGGAAAATAAAGATGGTTTCAAAGACGCTGTTAAAGATAAATTGCCGGAACTGACTGATGAAGAAAAAGAAGACATTGTTAGTACTATAATCATGCATTTTGAAAATCCTGAACCGGTTTCTCCACCTCCTAAAGGAGGCCGAAAGTATGGTGGCAGATTTAGGAGACGTAGCAGCAGTTACAAGGACAACAGAAAGAGCATATCTGAAAACGATGCTGGCTCTCTTTCGCCAAATTCAACCGACCACGCCAATGGTCACAACCTAGAAGCAGAAAAGCCCCAGAACGAAATTATCAAAAGTCAAGAAAATGGTGAGAACAACTGATTAAAAACCAAAGTTTGATTACCATTTTAAGTATTAAGTATTAAGTATTATTAAAAAAAAAAAAAAAATTAAAAAAAAAACGTTAAGTTTTTTTGTTGTTCTTCATAGACTACTTATAAGTTTTATAATAATTTTTAAAATCTCTAAAAAAAAATTGACTGTATGAAAAAAAAACATAGTGTTAACCACTTTTCGCGTTCATTTAACTATTTTCCTTATGGATGATAATATATTATAATTTTATTTTAAAAAAATCAAGTCGATTTTAATATTTATTTTTCTTCATATTCTATTTCTATTTTAATTTGTAAGAACGCGAATAAGTTGAGGTCTTTATAACATGTGTAATAATTTTTACAAGATAAAACTATATATCTATAAAACAATAAACAAAGAATATAACAACAAAAGTTATTTAATTTAATTTATTGCTATTATTATTTATTATAATTATCTAAATACCTATTATGATTTTTTAAATTACTGTTGCTTTTAATTTATTTATTCTTTTCAAAATGTTTTAATTTTCATTGAACCAAATGTTCATTATCTATTTGAAAAGACTTCTGCTTGTTCTAATAAAATTAAGGCTTTTTACAAGAACATCACACCCACATTTGTTGTTTTTACAAATGTGAAACAGTAAATTTACATTAAGCAGTTCATTTTTGTTATGTTGGTTTTATTATTTGATAGAATTGTGAACATAAATAAATATTAAAGCAATTAAACAATGATCTGCCTAATGTACATTTGCTATTTTCCTTAAGATTGGAAACAGCGACATCCTATGCGGGCTTGGCCTTCTTATTTAAAAATTACCATATTGGTATTTATTCATTGAATGTATGATTTGTTTCTAATTTGGTTATTAACATTTTTTATATAATATAATTCTCAACTCTACTTAAAATATTATTTAATGGAAAAATAAATCTCATTTAGGAGTTGTAAGTTATAGGTGTTTGTACCATTTTACCAGATAATGGATGTTGTCAATCTAAGAGCATACTTTTAAAATAATAAAATATGTCAACATCTGTTTATTTTAAATCTAAGAGGTAAAATGTTAAAGGTTAGGGATATCTAACTACTTACAAGAGTCAAGTTAAGTACTGCACTGAAAATATACTATTTGCCAGCAATGTTGATCTGTTTCAAAACATTATTTCTTCTCGGCTGGAAATTTCTTACAGAATTCTCACCAAAAACTGGTTCTATTGGTTTCAGAGAAAGTGAGTATTATAAGTAAGACTTATCATGTCTAATATTATTATATTATACTTACAATTATTAATTCCTAATTTATTAATTTTTTTTTGTCTTGAGTACACTTTTGTTGTAAAGATTTAAAGACTAGATCAAAATTAATATTATTTTTTATTGGTTTTCTTGTTTAAGTTTTCTGTATTTCTTCTATAGGTTTATCATGGATTTATTATGACATAGTATTAACCTAACAGTTGTATTAATGTGTTGCCGGTTCCTTTATTTTTGTGTTTTTTTTTATAAACAAATATATTTTATGTATAATAGGCAGTGCCGTAAAAACCAGGTGTGCAAAGTGTGAACCGCACACAGGCCTCGGGCCTCATAATATATCGAAGGACCTCAAAAAATCTAAAGACTTATATTAAACTAATATAAAATTATTAAAATATATAAATTATTTATTATTGATTTGGAAACGAAACCAATGTTGTTTCATTTTTTTTATATAGCATGGAGTCGTGATCACTGTTCTTAGATTTTGAGAGGAACGAACAATATTAATGTATTGATTTTACAAGATGTGTATAATTTTTTTCATTTCTGTCGATCATCAACATTGGGTAGGTAGTAAAAATATTCCGAATTTCGAGATCAGCATTTTTTCTGTTAGAAAAGTGAATCTAGTTGGTACTTATTGGAGATCGAAACCAAAATTTTTAGTTTTAGATATTAAAAAGCGGGGAAAAAAAATTGTCATTTTTACCTATAACCAAAAATTTTATTTTTTGGTATAACTCGAAAACTAATAACCGTAGACCATTGAAGTTTTCACCAAATATTTATATTAATATTTTCAATAAATTACATTTTGAAAATTTTTTACTTTTTTGAGTTAGTTATAGCCTTGAGAAATTGTTTTAAAATTATAGATTATTTAAAATTAAAATTTTTTTTTTGTTTAAGCCTGAATTTTTGTCTGCTGACTTTAAAAATTACAAAAAAAGTTTTTGAGGTGTGTATTGAAAAAGATAATAAGGAGACTCAATATTTTGGTTTTGCACACAGGCCTCAAGTAGCCTAGTTACGGCCCTGATAATAGGTATATTCTTTGATATACAAATTTGATTTTGATAAGTGTATAGCACATATTGATTAGACTTGGTAGATATAGCTTATTTTTTTTATTCATAGTTTTAATCTCTTAAATTTTAAAGTTTTTTTGTACCTACTCTTACAAATCATAGAACATGATCTGAACGGATAAACTAATAAAAAAATACATGGTTACGTCGTTCACCTGATGCATGACTTTGTACTTGGGCATTCGTATAATTTTTATCAGCTGAACTTTTAACACCTAGAATGAAACGTGTTTATTAGGACTTGAAATAAGTTATATCTTAGCAGAATAAACTTATTGACAACATGTGATTGCAGTTGTTGAAGGTTGTGGATATCGGTTTATATGCCAAATATTTAATCTATCACTGGTCCAACAAAATTCATTTTTTGTTCTATAAGTTGTTTATTAAATATATTATATAATATATTTGAATAAAAAATTACGAATTTATGTTAGTTTGTCTGGTTTATAAGATTGCACTGGCATAGATGATTAACGCTATTTATCGTTTTCGTACAAATTGATCCATTGCAATGATAGTGCGTTGTAATAAAATTAAATGGAAATAGATAATCTACGTTTATTGTGAAAATAATATTGAAAGAATTATAGAAAGGATAGAGTTGTTGAGATAAATTGCAATCAATCGGATAAAAAATAGACAGCAGTACATGCGACTTTATTGTGTCAATCTACAAGAATTTTAATAATATATTATTTTATTATACTCTCAAATATTTTGTGTGTGTAAACGTTTGAGGAGTAAAATAGTATGTAGATTTAATAGTTACGATGGCCGTTTGGGCTGCTGGGCTTTGAGGAGGAGGTGCATAAAGCATAGCGTTTGGAATAAAATATAATTATTTGATCAAATAAGTTATGACCGACTATATTTCATATGAAAATAATACATTGATAAAAGTATAACACAGTATTGTATACAACAATTATTAGGCTATAATACCTGTGTATGAAAATTGGATTTGAAATTCTGTGCACGTTTACTGTTTTAATTTTTAGTAATTAGTCAATACACGTGTTCATAAACAAATTTAATTAATTTAAAATTTCGGATTATTTAATATTTGATAACCCGAAAGGTTATAACCTATAATCATAGATATGTTGTACAATAATTACGTTATTTTTTATTATAATGCGCAATATTTATTCATGAAATATAATGATTAATGACTTCTTACCATAGCCCATAGAGGTAAATGTGATGCACGACTTTTAAAAATACTTGAAATTCAGTTTTTAAGCTTCAGAAAACTCCTACATTTTTGAAATAAATTATAATTTTTACTATTCTTTAGGTTTTTACTCTTGAATGATAACATAGGTACATTTTTTAATTCATATTCCTAATTAGACTATTATTCAGAGTATTTCGATCTATACAAATTACGGAAAAGTTGTTTATTAGTTATAAGTAGATTGTAGAATTAGGATGTTGATGACTTGCATTTTTTTCCTTTGATCTTATACAATGTTATATCTTAGTTAAAAATTTGTTTCATGCTTCCTTGATTCAGAATAATATTATATTTTATTTTGCATTTTTAGTTTTAAACTAATTTTTTTTTGTTTTATTACGTCATTTTTTGTTGTTTTTGTACAACGTAGGGGCATTTTTCTCAAATTTTAGATTTTAAACAAAATATGCATAATATTCAAAAAAATAATGTTATTATTATTGTGGAGATTTTCTTGTGATTAAATTTATCGCGTACCGATATGATTTACTGTTTGCCTATTATACATTTTTAAATTATAAAACAAGTGCTTTTTCACACATATGCCGATCATACACATTTTAATAATTTTATTTAATTCTTAACATTTAAATGTATACTATTGTGTATTAATATTACAATTTAAAAATAAGATATACGGCCACGTGAATGTGAATTTTCTTCTAGAATAAATTTGTACGAATTAAATAATTATTAACACTGGTACTAATTACCATAGAAAAGATATCAAAATTAAAATTAATCGTTTTAGACATCTTGCACAACTCACGAGAAACAGAATTACCGAACAAAAAAACTTTATACTTCAAATATTTTGTAAATTATGATAATAAACGTATCTAATTGGCAGTTGGGCATGCCCGTTTGGTCGAATTCAGTTACGGTTCATAAATACGCAGGCACGCAGCCCGGATATTCAGCTATAGTATATGTAATACAGCAAGGGCAAATTATCAGGATCTGTCTTAATAAACATAACTTAGAAGAATCAACTATCGATAACTGCCTATAAATTATTAAATATTTTACCAATAGACAAATTATAAAAAAAAATCACTATTTTATTTATTATAAAAATTATAACTCATGTGTCGTCGATACAGAAAGCATATATTAATATATAATATTATGATAAAAGGGAAAATATAATGGAATATCGATAGAATACATAATATTTCAACACTGCCTATCAATATTAAAAATAATATACACACTAACTACAGGAATGTTAAAAAGTTTAATCTCAATCAAATAATTGTTAATTGGTTATTCACATTATTAGAATATTACCTTTCTGTGTACAATGTACATTGTATTTTATTTATTTAATTTAATTTATATTCATGTACTTGTGTAATATATTCATAAATAATAATCTTACTATCATGAAAAATGGTGTTAATATTTTTTATTGTTAATTTAAGTGATATAAATTGTAACTCTACCACCAACACAAGCATGGCTAGTAATTTTTTTTCTTCAAATTTATAACAAATATTTAAATAATAAAATAATAAAAAAAATTATTGGTACCTACCTATGTGTGTTGATAATCAATGAATAATGATACAACTCACTATTTTCTATTGGTATTTGTTTTCAGTAACTATCTATGAAGAAAACATTTAGTTTGAACCATTATTTCAAAGAATTTTGATTTTTAATAAAAAAATGTTTTCCCTCTCTTTTTGCGTTTGTCTTATATGAATATGTGTGACTGGTATTCTCCCGAGGTAACCGGTATTCGATTTAAAAAAAAAAAAATATATTTGTTTTATAAATATGATACATACATATTATAATTTATAATACAGACGTTTCTGTTTTTATTAAAAGTTTAATCATTCAATTTGGATGTCTAGCTCATGAAATATTTATCTTATTTATAAAGATATAGATAAGTATTCTCCTAAGGTGACCGCAGTTCCCCTAGTCACCCCTAATGCTTACAAGTCAGAACATGACTACCTTCGTTAGGTAACATTGTACCTGATAGGTTAAGTTAGGTACTTACGGCAAAAAAGTTTGACACGACAATCCACAGAACCATTTTCAGATTTTCTCGTAGTTTCAAAATAATCTACTATTCAACAAAATATTATTATTTATTAATGCTTTAGCCTTACGTGCTGTGGTAGACGTACAGGACGTACATAGTGCCGCTCACGTCCTTCCATTCAGTTCGTATTACATATTATAACATTAACGTTATAATTAAATTCTATATATTTTAGAATTTTTTTTTACTGCTGTTCGTTGAGGTCGCTTAAGCAATAACATCAAAACAAATCGATACGTGTATATTATTTTTATACTGTAATTTATTTATTTATAGCACAAATAGTTGTTACTCATTTTAAAATAAAATAATTTCCTAACATATAATATTATAATGTACCTATATGAATATTAGACATGTCTTACTCATGGAATATGGATCATTATACATAAACACAATGTTTAAATAGCAAATAATACACTTGAATTATAAACTAAATTAGTTTTATACCTAACCTTAATAGGCATAAACAAGTATTTAGATTTTAGATACAAATATTGTTTAACAATGAGTACAATATAAAACGCACCTTTACGGCTATACGTCTCAATGATGTAATTACATAAATTAATATATATATATGATTATTATACATTATTTATTAAAACTATCTAATGTGATTTATAAATGAATAATTACAATTAATTAAGTGTTATAATTTATATAATAATTATTGTATTATTTAAATACATTTTTGAAGGTATTCTTAAAAATAAATTTCAAAATGGCTATAGATACCACTATGTTTGTTTTAGACTTGAAATATCAACAGAATTATTTAACATGATCGACATAGGTACATTATCCACCAATAACGAAAACAAGACCGAGATGTCTTCATTTATCATTATAAACCATATAGTTGTTCAGTGAAGTTATTCTGAAGTACAGTTTTTATTTTAAGTATTACATATTGTATCAATGTCATGCTCATTATTGTCATTGATGGCGCCCAATCTTAGTAGGATATCTCCACAATTAAGTTTATATCTGACGCCAGACACGTAAGAGATATTGCACACCACTCCTTTTATTTTCACTATTCTCGCCCTGTATGTAAACCCTTTCCCTTTGCATTCCGGCTTTGGGAGATTGATTTCGATACCAAACACTGTCGAGTAAATCAAAAAAGTATTGTTTGCTGATCTTACGAGGAATCTGTTAGGGAAAACGCTTATAACGCTGTTCAACAATAAGTCACCAGTCATACTATAGTAAATAGCTGTGGACAAGGCTCCGTCACTTATTGCTAAATCCGTATCAGCAAGCGATTTCAGTCTCTTGCTCTTGTAAAAAACTTCGTTTGTCATAGAGCAGTTACCGGATGAACAGCTGACGCCGTCATACTCCGTCGTTACGAATTCGAGATCCGTCGAGTAGAACATAATTGCTTCCGTTTCGTTTAGGACGTACAATTTGTTGGTAGTGATTAAATTGACGAGGTTAATACAGTTTTCCGATCTGATGGACAATATGCAGTTGATTACAAACAAAATCGAAAACGAGACCGATTTGTCTATAAAGGCCATGATTTTTGATTATATTATATTAATAATAGGTATGTATTAGACACCTATATACATAATATTTTACGCACGTTGTCGAAACATAAAAACGCGTTTAAACGGAAAAAAATAATAATGGCCCTCTAGCTATACCTATTTCATCCCCACGATGCGCACACGAAGATATAATATAATATATTATATCAAAAATTTAAAACAACTTACGATGTAGGTATATTATGTTGCACGCGGCACGTTGTCCTCGATCGGATATCGTTTCGGAGACTGCATCAGATAAATAATAATATAATATTATGTGATACTCAGTTGGCAGTTCTTATGGCCGACACTGAGGTATTATTATATTATCGTACACTGAGCACACGTATTTACATCAAAACTTTACTCGGACCGTCTTCTAATTGGCTAAGAGTTATAGTGTATGTACGTTACCTTGGGCGCGATGTGTATGTGCGGGGGTGGGGAGCTATGCCACCACCACAAATAATAATATGACATGATAAATAATCCATTATTTAGATCCTCTCCGTTTATCGTAACCGGTTTGGTTCAGACTAGCTAGTACACTGCGAAAAACAATTTCTTGCAAAGATTCTGCGCTGAGTACACACCATATAATTATACTGGTTCTTCTTTGATTTTTTATAAAATATAGTATATTATAATGTATATAATATAAATAAATGTTCGCGTAAATGCAGACTACTGTAGAAGTGAACGATTTTGGCCCGTGAGGGGATCTGGTTAGGTTGTTCTGGTCAACGATTTTTCCATAATTTCCGTGTATCTGCGCACTAGACGGAAGAACAAAAAATATCGTATAGACATGGGCGGAGCTTGATCAATTTTTTAGAGAGGCTGAAGCCTCAACTTAATTTTTATATAATATTAAAACAATTTGTTTAGCCTATATAAATATTTATGGCTTATCAATTTCATAACTTCCAATGGGGTTAATTTAATCTATATCTAAATACATATATATCATATAGGTACTAACCTAGCTATATTACCCGCGATGCCGGGGATAAATACATCTGATATATGCAGTCCACCTGCGGTGGATATAGTAATAAGTATTACTTATAGCTAGTAACTAATAACTAATCAGTAACTTTTTTTTCTTACACGGACCAACTGCGAGCAGAAATGCAGAAATGCAAAAATATGAGGTTATGATTTTCATATTATTAATAGTAGGCCACCCTTAAATAACTGGTTCAATCTATTATCCAAACCTTCCTAGAAATCGTAAATATCAGTAGAATATTATTTTGATTTTAAAGCGTTAGTAATATACTTTGCATTTTATATTTAATAGCTGTTACCTGCGGCTTCTATTCTAATACTCTTACAATCCGTCAGGGATCCAAAATAATATGTGTGTAAAATTTGGTGCCAAATGGCCAAACGCATTGGATTTTCAAATGTGTCATTTTGATATATATAGGTAGCCGGTAGCCAGACTAATAATCTTAACCGCATATACTTTGCCTCCAATATAACAGCTGTTACTCAATTTTACATTTATATAGAATAGCTATTTACTAGTCAGCTAAATAATAACAACACATAATACAAGACAGAAAATTATGTCCAATCATAATAATAATTTTACCATCTGTGACCAATGGCAACCATTTAAATAAAGAAAAACTATTAGATTGACTATTTGAGTGAGTCAAAATTATTGCATGTGTGAGTCACCTTATAGGAACCTACTGTAGGGGTTGAAACAATAAGGTGTGAACACTCCCTGAGTCTTTAGAAATCTATTGATATAAATTTTATTGAAAACTGTCTAGTCGTTTAGATGTTATACAGATCAGAACGGACGCACAGAAGAATGATATATAATATATTCTTGTAAGTTATAAGTTATAAATATACTAAAGTAGCAAAGATAAAAACGACTGGAGGAAAAATGAAAATGCATAAATATAAGCTTGACATTTCCATCATCACGACTGTAATTTCGACGTTTATTTCTAAAACATAAGTTTAAAACGTCTAGTATGGTAATATATACTGCCAATTGCCATATTATTGGTTCTTACTTTTAGGTTTCTTATATTATAATTAATTACTACTTACATAAATACATAATTAATTCTTAGGAACCTAAGTAGTTTCGTAGTAACAATGTAATATAATGGGTTTTGGGGGTTTTGGTTGAATCTGGTCCCACTCGACCACATCATGTTTATTGGTCGTTGTTTTTCCCGTTAAAGCCAGCATAAATAAATGATAATTATTAAAAGTTTTGAAATCCCGATAACAGAACTAATCATAAAATTGTAGAAAATAAAAACAGAAACTCAACTATTTATAAAACAAATTATTAGTAACGATGTTATTTTATGAATTTAATGTTTATATTAAAAACGATGTAAGGATTTAGGGTTAGTTCTTGTAAATAATATGGAACTTTAAATTTAACAATAGTTAAAGAAGAGAATATAATTTATGAAGTATTTTAAACGTTTTAATTATGCTTAAGTGTTTTAATACAGTCGAGTTTTTTCGTATTTTCTAAATTGTCACACTCTATTAAAAATTCTGAAAAAATATTGAAATTAAAATAGGCTATATATAACTGGTCTAAACCCTAGACTTATAAACTAATGTACAGCTCATACAGAGAGAAGTCAAGGGAACGATATAGAGTTAGCGAGGAAAGAAACAAAGTAGTAATTTACGATGTCTACTGTCAAATAAAAAACTGTTTTACAATAAAATCTGCCAATTATTGACTATTGTTATATTTTATTGTTAACATAATAACTGATGTGTGGTTACCTAATTTGTGGGTCTATGGTAACAACCATATTACCTATTTATATTATATATATATTTATGGCTGATAAAGAAAATGGAAAAAAAGTGAAGTATTTCCTCCATGATTACTCCTTTATGTTTTTTCTCTCTTCGTTCTTTCTTCTTTCTTTCTAAGTTACGTTATTCCCTAGCATTGATGGCAGGGCGGAGTGGAGTGCGCTGCTGTCCATTAATTTATAGGTCTATATACTGACCATGAAAACTTTTGCTTGGATTCAAAATCATCCATCTGACGATGTTTATTTCAAAACCAGTCAAAAAACCAGCTATATTACAAAGTCAATTTCAAAACCAACCATGACCAATGTGTAAAATGACCTCGTACATACAAATTTACAAGTAGGTACCTATAACGTTGGCTTCAAAACTAGCCGCCATATATTGAAATTTGCAACAAAACCAGCTATATCAAAACTAAAAATGTAATAACTTATTAATAACTCTTGGAAATATATTTTTATAAAACACCTATTCATACTCAATATGTAAACAATCCAAATATATGATTTCATATTTATTACAAAATCACAGAGTAAAATGTTGAAGTCTTTTTCGTTTTTTGTTGTTCCCGAAAAATTTCAAAAATTTGTTATGGCTGATTTTGAAATTACACCCCTCCCGTCTCCTCAGTTTACAATTGTTTATGATATGATACTGTTATTAAACAGACACTAATAATATATATTCTACCATTATTTATTGTTGAAACTTGAAGTTGCAACTTAAATAAAAATATTAAATACCTAACGCATGCGTAAAAACTTACACTATATTATTATACCTATATAAAATGTATTATTTAATATTAAAAATAACGCTTTGCAAAATGTGATTAATTATCATGATTTATTTTGATAAGTTGGTAGCAATTTTATTTCAAATTATCAAACTATATATAAGTATAACTTAATTAATTAAAATTTTAAACCGAGAAGATATGGTTGTATTATAATATTATGATATATTATATAAATAATAAAAGAGAATTCGATATCCTAGGTATTTATTAAACATTACGACAATTTACTTTTTGTGTCAAACGTTTAAATTTAGAAATACAATTTTGTGACGAACTCTATTCTACCTATTTAAAGTCGTTAGAGAACTAAAAGTAAAATGTAGGTATTCTACTCGTATTTGTATCCAAATCCTATTTTACTTCAAGTTTCAACTATATATAGTTGTCTCCAATGTTTTACAAATTTGAATTTCAAACGCTCATAAAAATTTAATTTGACTTTCTTATAAACATTTTTTTTTTTTAATAAAGGTAAATAATCTTATAAGGAATCTTGTATTACATTTTAAAATCTTAGATTTAAAAAGAAAAATTTCAACGAATTCTTAACTCAAAATAATTTGCTAATTTTCGTGATTTTTCCCATATTTTGTCAATTTTTGAACTTAAAAGATTATAAAAAAAACTGTGACTATCTAAGGGTTGTTAATATTTTTCAAATGTCATTATAACAATATACTAGGAGTCTTGTATTCAATGTTCAAGTATTTTTACTCAACAAATAATAAAGTTTTATTGACATTCATAGAAAAAAAAAACTAATAAAATGGGAAACTGAAAATGTCTTTAAAAAGTTCAAAACAAATCAAAATATTTTGAAAATTTTATCATGTATAGAAAATGGGAATATAAACAACCAGTAAAAGGTTTGCATTTTGTTTTGAAGTTACACAAACAAAAACCAAATTCGATTTTGTTAAAAATCAAATTGGCTTAAAAATTCCCGTTTTTTTTTAATTTTTCTTTTGTTTTTCTTGGCGCTTTTGAAAGTTCCTGGAATTTTAAATTTTGACCTGATCAATACACCAACAATATTCACTTTCCAATCGAATAAGATACATAAGTTGAAAATCAAAGCATTATTTCGACTACTTATGGTGTACACAGATACAAAAATAAAAAAAATATATAAAAATACATCACTGTAAAATCAATACATTCATCGTTTCTCTCAGATTCTAAAAAAGTACAAAAATGAACAAATGCACCAAAAATACTAAAAAATGACCATAAAGCAATAAATTCCCTAAAAATGCAAAATAAAAATTGTACCATTAAATTCTATACCTATTCTATGAATCAAATTTTTACAAAGGCGAGCCTCGTATGTAAGCATTAGAAAAAAAGATGCAAATGCATCAAGTTC